GTTAAAGCTGATGAGAAGTCTAAGAAAAGCACTCTGGTACATGTTTTAGGACTGTTTAGTTGATGGTAAAGTCTCTCCAACAATAGTAAGATTGCATCCTCCATACTTCTGGCAGGTTTGTAAGCAAATTGGTGGGGGGTCAAGTTTTTGCTGTACTTCTTTCAAAATTTCTTTCAGAATTATTTTCTCAAAATATTTTATTACAATTGAGGAAGTGAAACAGGTCGTAAGTCATTGTTGCAGGTTACCTTAATTTTCTGTGGAATTGGTATGATTTCTGAAGTTTTCCAAATAGCTGGTATTGTGTGAGTTACATAAGATTTATTAAATACGTAACACAAATGTAGGAGAGCTGCTCATTTAATGAGCCGACCACTTAATTTGTCTCGCCCCGACGCCTTGGCGGCGTTCACTTGTTTTACTAATGACATCACTCCCTGTTCAGTGAACAATAAAGTACCATCCTGTGTACTGCTGCCATTTTTAAATGAATTCATCATCGCATTGTGAACTCTTCCAAAGTCCAGTCTGTCAAAACAACAATAAAAGTCATTTAAATCGTTAACAACATTCCTCGCGTCCTCAACACACAAGCATTCTCACTTAGGAGTGTATCCTGTTATTTGCTTTAGTCCTGCCCAAAAAATTTTGGAGATGTAAGTAGTGAAAATTTTTTAGATTTTTTGTTTGTATTGTTTTTACTCTGATATATTTTTACTTTCAATATTGTTTTTAGCTTTAATGAATTTCTGATCGTTAATCTTATACATGGTCTTCTTGTGGTTGGATGGCCTCCTTCTTTTGGTGGATGGCCTCCTTCTTGTGGTTGGATGGCCTCCTTCTTGTGGTGGATGGCCTCCTTCTTGTGGTGGATGACCTCCTTCTTGTGGTGGATGGCCTCCTTCTTGTGGTGGATGGCCTCCTTTATTTCTCATCCAGGGTTTGTTGTTGTTGAATACTCGGATTGTTGTTTTTTTTGGAATGATTTCGTCTACACAGAACTTAATGTAGGAATTGTCGGTGTTTGTTAGCTCGTCAATGTCCGGGGAAATGTGTATAAACGTGTCCCTGTCTTTACGTTCCAAGCAGGTTTGAAGTTTTTCTGTCGCCTCATCTGACCACAGCTCAATAGTTGTTTTTTTTATTGAATTAGTTGTTTTTAAAACTGGCTTATAGCAATGCGTTAGGTGGACCATTGTGTAGTCGTCAGGCGGACCATTGTGTGGTCGGATTCTCCTAGAGGAAATAAAGCACGACATGTGTAGGCTTTTTTTAAATAACCATAAAACATATGCAGAGTTCGGTCTTGGTGCGTAGGGCAAGTTACCCACTGGATGTATGCGGGCATTGATTTATTCAGTGATAGTTGATTAAAGTCCCCCATAACAAGATGAACGGAGTGTGGGTTTTTTTGTTTCGAAGTCATGGACTACATCCAAAGTCTCTCAGTGGCCTTCTCCTTGGTTAGAATAAAATGGAATGTAAATGAGGATGATACAGATTTGGGTGAACTCCCTAGGTAGGTAGATGGCCTTAAAGTAATGCAGTAGTTCTATGTCGGGTGTACAAACTACATGTTTCACTGTACTGTTGTGGATGCTACAGTAGATGTTGTTAATATATTTTGCCAATCCTCCTCCCTTGGATTATCCGCTTTCGATTGTTCGATCGGCATGGAAAAGGTTAAATTCGTCCAATGCCACTGCTGAATCTGGTACCGTTTCGTTAAGCCATGTTTCTGTCAGGAATATTAAAGAGCTTTCGCAAAATTGATAGAAATGCTTACAGCAACAATCCAGTTCATCCATCTTGTTACTCAGTGACCTGACATTTCCTAAAAACAACAGGTGGAAGAAAGCCCTGCTGTCTTCTGTTTCTGCATTTTACATGAATGTCTCCCCTTCTGCCCCGCGTTCTTCCTCTCAGTCGTGCATCGGTCGCCATTTTGTTGTTGGCATGGCGGAGGTTTACAAAAATGGCGGAAGTGACATTTCTTTATTTATAAATTGTATGTATATATACATATTTATAAATATATTAGTTGTAATACAGGCTACATGTGTGGCAAGCTGGGGGAGGGGAGCCTTAAACAATCTGACGTCAGATGAAAAGCGGAATATTATAGTTTAGAATTACACGTAATAACCCCAAATTATGGACATCTTTTTTACATTATTCTTTTATACAACAAGTATAAATCTTTTATTTTTAAACTACGATCAATGAGAGAATCACTTCAAGTATGCGAAGGCTGATATAGGGCTTCTGATATAGTTACAGGGGGAGACATCATTATTGCATCTTTAATGTTGAAATTACAAAAAAATGCACACATTTACTTGAATTTTTAGTTTTAAACATAATTTATGGCTCTCATAGAATTAATTTTCAAAATATGTGGTGTCCATGGCTCTCTCAGACCAAAAGGTTCCCGACCCCTAGTCTACACATATGAATTCAGAATATGTTATGATGATGTTATAGAGCAAAGAAACCCCTTTTTTGATTGGACCAATTTTTTTGTTATCAACTTCAATTTTCAAACCTTTAAAATCGGAAAAGAAAATAATCAAATGAATTCTCAAAAGAACAAGCAAGATGTCGGCTTTAAGTAATTGGCAGATTTAGAATTATTATTAGGCTAAAAATCAAATATATAAAATGTAACCTCTCTAATTTTAAAAGTGGAGGTCACCATTTTGTCAATAAAATGATCATATCTGAATTTTTGGGGATTCCGGGCGTTACCGTAGTACCAACATTACAGCTATATTATAAACTACCGGTATATATCATCTGTTTTTTTTTAAAATAATTCCATTCAAGTACGATGTGGATTTGAAATGATTAAGCAGGCCTAAGCCTAAGCCTAAGCGATGGTGTTATTAAGCGATGACTTACTTAATAAAATTTTCTACTCTAAATTCTAAGTAATCTTAATTACAATTTAATCATAATAGTCAAAGTACACAGTAAGAGTCTTAATCTTAGGCCTTAAGTCCTAGTCTAGACTCTAGACTAAGTGACATAAAGTCTAAGTAATATTATAAAGCTTAGCTGACTGAAAGACATTGAACAGCTTGCAGAATTTTCTATGCTGATATTTGATTTTAAATCGATGACTTTGTGTATTTATAACCTTAAAAAGGTATGGTAAATGCAAAGTATGGATCTCATGTTTTCTCTCCATGGCCGTTATTTTGGTTTACACGACTCGTGAAGTTACTGATCGTGTTCAAAAAAAAAGTAGTGCAAACATGTGTGATTAAAAAAAGTGAGGGAGAAAAATGTGTTAATTGAACTACTTACCGAAAGATAGGAGAATAGGGAAATTAGCAAATTTACAAGGGTTTTGACCTTATCCCTAACCTGGGTTTTGACATTATCCCTAACCTGGGTATTGACCTTATCCCTAACCTGGGTTTTGACCTTATCCCTAACCTGGGTTTTGACCTTATCCCTAAGCTGGGTTTTGACCTTATCCCTAACCTGTGTTTTTACCCTAATCCTAACATGGGTATGACCCTAACCTGAACTCCTTAATCCAATCCCTAAATATATCCTAAATATATCCTTAAACGTAACCCAAACCTTTGTTGAACTTGCTGTCAACGAAATATTACTGAAATACTTATGCAACTGAGTACTATATGAGCGATACCTAGCGAGCTCATGTATGAAACCACAAGGAAACATGACGATGACTCCAAAAGATTTTGCTTGGCATTTTTACAGCATTTGAGATATAAATTTGCAATTTTTGGACTCTTAAAATTCTAGGATGATAACTGTAGAATATTTGAGGAAATTTACGTACTTCCTGTCGAGAAGCCCCAACCCCACCCCAACCACGGGCGCTAAATTTCTAAAAATCAACCCCCTACCCCTCAGAGATTACGCACGTAAGTTTAAACTCCTTTTAAACATTTGGAGATAACCTTTTAAAAAAATCGAATGTCAATCAAATTTAAAAGCTGATTAATTTATCTCGGTGACGGGCCATTATTTTAAAATCCTCTTTTCTTATTAGTGCCACCGTTATTTATGATTAAAATCCAGACAGGTTCATTAAGTTATTCTATTTGAACTGTCAACAGGATCTATTCCACAATGTTAATTCAATGAGTTATATGTCTACATAATATCTGGCTCATTTTCATTAACGGCTGGTTCAGCTTCCCCAACGGCTGGCTCAGTTCAACCATGTTTGGTCTTAAGCTCATTTTCGTTAACGGCTGACTCAGATTCATGTTTTCCTATTTTCATAAACGTCTGAATCATTGTTATCAACCTTTAAAATAAAAATACAAATAAAGAAATACAAATAGTTATTTAAAATAAAATAAGTAAAACAGAGTAGGGTTCAACCTGAAAAATAAACGCAACAAAACAGCGAACGTGTCGGCAGAAAGCCTTCGTCAGCGAACAAAACAACAGAAAAAACGGTATAAAAAAAGAAATAGCATTTAGCTGGTAAGTAGTATTGTGGGCAGCAATAGAACTTCTATTGATTGCTGGCCAGCAAATCGAGTCGTGTCTAAATCTAATAACATGCACATTTAATATCACTTAGTGCCTGAAAAAGGCCCAATTCTTTATTTTGTACACCCAGTTGAATGGTAAAGCAAAAATAAGTTCATTGAAGAAGGGATAAAATATCAAATTTTCCCTCTATTTACGAAGCTGCCTTACTCCAGCAGCATATCTACAATGCTACTACACTAGACATTATTTAAAAGGCTACTGCACCCAAGCAATCTACCAGGCTACCAACCAAAGCGATCTATAAACCTACCCCACCAAACCTTTTCCTCATAAATATTGTTTAACCATCCGATTATGATGAAAATGATTTATTTATTATTTATAAAATGTATTTAAAATTACAAAACTAAAATTTACCCTAAGATTTTTAGAACCATTGATTCATACACTATTCATCCAATCATAATCGTCCACCTCCAGATGTCTGTGATACTCAGGCCTCAAGTATGTTTATAAATTTATAGGTTGCAGTCTTCTGAAATTAACACCAAAAGAAATCAGAATGTTGTTTGTGGTTTTCTTCAGTCTTATCATCAGCAATGAAGCACAGGAAGAAAAGAGTAAAGTTTATTTTAATTTATACATTTATTGTTCTAATGTTAGTAGCTTGAAACTATGACCTCAATATTAAGTTATATCATTATTAATACCTTTTTAAATTCAAAACGTGTTATGCAATGACTAAGTGAGAAATAGTAACCTAGAATAATCTACTACAGAAAATTAAGTTAAGATAGTCCATTAAAGTCCTTTAAAGCTAGGCTAGTCTATAAATATCTTAGGATAGGATAGTCTATTAGATTTATTAAGATAGGAAAGTCTATTACATTCTATTAAGAAAGGATAGTCCATTAGAGTCCTTTATGATAGGATAGCTCATTAGAGATATTAAGATGGCATAGTACATTTGTGTCATTTAATAAAGTATAGTTTATTAGAGTCATTTATGATAAGATAGTACATTAAAGTTATTAAGATGCGATTGTACAATGGAATCATATAATATGTGATAGTCCGCAAAAGCATTGCTGCTCGCAATGTAGACACAGGTTTTACCTCTACACGGCGCGTACCTTTCAGTGGACCTCAAGTCCAAGCTCATTCTGGTTCAACAGGATGAGTTGGAAAAAACGACATAAACCTAACCTCCCAAAAATTTCTTCGACTACCACTAAGGCACACTTTAAAAAAGGCAAAGGCATTTTCCGGAGGTAAACTGGGCACAGTACGAAACTTAGACCGAAGACAAACGTTCAGACCGTACAGGAAAAAGAATTCTGAAGGCGCTGGTTGATAAATGAGCAAAAAAAAAATGCTGACATAATGAAACATGCATAATCATTTGGGCAAAAAAAAAAAAAACGCAAAAATTACCAATTTAAACATTGCCTGTAAAACCTGGACAACTGGCGTTTTGCCAAAGGCGGGGCAATGAGCATTGATTGTCCCAATTCCCAAAGAAGATAAACCAAGTGATCAACCGTCGAGCTAGTGGCGTACATTGAATAAATGTCACCAATGATTGCCCACCCCGAGCATACATCTGTTACATAAGGTTCGTAAAAGAACAAACTAATAAAAGTTGCACGAAGCTAGATGTGCCCATGCGTCTTAGTTTAAATCCTGAAAATTATGGAAAATTAGGTATGTTGTAATTTCACTAACGAGAAAATGCTCAACTTCGTAATGATTTAAATTAAGAATGTATAGGTTAGCGCGTCTTCATGACTTACATGAGGTAAAGGCTCGAATGAAATAGTTGGGGAATGAGGATTGGGTCATTCCAAACGCTGGTCGAATGGACATTGTGTAGTCAGCCAAGAAGGGCAGCTACTCTTGGGGAAAAGGTAAAACGAAAATATTAACAGCTTCTGATGGATTTATTTGCTATTTTTTAAATTTATTTTTCATTTAAATAATTTAACTATGGAAAATATTTAGCGTTGACATGTGTATGATGTTTCTTTGTTAATTACTTTACCATGGCACACAACAAGACAAATTCATGATGAATTCACACAATAAAGATTATGGTCTCAAGGCTAACATTTTTCCTTATTTCATTGGTCGCAGAATTTTTTTAAAATGTAAAGTACGCTGGAACGAAAAACTAAAACTAAAAAATAACACTGATATCGTACTGATAAAGGCTTTTACCGAAAAAAATTACATTTGACACTTGTTTTATCATAAATCTTAAGATTTATTTGTTTTATTTACACGAATTCTTTGTTCAACTGACCATTTACGAAACATTCAAATGATCAACTTAGAAAAAAAAAAGGAAAACTTTCCCAGTCTTGATTTGATACCTGATTTACGTCTCTGGAATCTCTAAGACAACCCTTGCTGTGTATAGACCATATGGACCTACACATTGGTCACTAATTCATGTGTCACAGAACTCTGTTTTTTTGTATTGGAAGTGTCACACTTAAATTATGTTACACGTCTACAGCCACTTCTGACAAATATTCACAAATACCAAGCTTGTTATCTACAGCAGCTTAGCGTTGGAATGACTTACAGCTCAAAATTAAAATTATCAGATCAATAAATCTGAGTGAAAATCAATCAAAACGTCATATGAACTCCATTATCAAGAGTATTTATATAAATATTAATTACTGATGCCATATGTTACGCTATTCGCATGTAAGGATGTTACATTTTGTTAAATGTACTTATCATTAGTTTTTCAATCAAAACGTCATATGAACTCCATTATCAAGAGTATTTATATAAATATTAATTACTGATGCCATATGTTACGCTATTCGCATGTAAGGATGTTACATTTTGTTAAATGTACTTATCATTAGTTTTATGATTTTAATTTAAGTCAAGTTATATTTTACCTGTAAATTCGTCCAATTTTTCAATGGGCATGATTATTACATTGATGTTGTTAATAATCAAACTACTTTCTATTCCAAAGGATGCACAAGAATTGTTTGTGGGATAGACAACCTAGATGTTCCGAAAAATTTTATTACTAAAGAATTTCCCAAAGATTATTGCACCCATGCTATCTATTATTCCGCGGGCATTGTAGGAAATGACTTGACAAATATGTTCAGCAATGAATTGTCAAAAGACAGAGTAAGAGGGTTGTAAGTACGAAATAATTACTCTTTTCTTTGTAGTATCATACTCAATTCTCATATGTCTGTTTCAGGGAACGGGTACATCATTAGGTTATATCATTCTGTAATCGTTAAGGAACTTTATATCATAAATGGCAATGGATTAACTCATAAATAATATGTGACATGACATTATAGACGTTGATCACCAAATTGGATTTATCACAATGAGAAAATTGCTATATTTTAATATCGATTAGAAGCTGTGCCAAGTTTTTGTAAAGCTATAGAAAAGAATTTGATGTTTGTATTCAAACAATTTTTATTTGGGATAATTTAATCCTAGGAGCATTTTTAAGTGTCCGGGAACAGTGTACCTATAACTTCCCAAAGTAGGCAATGTGGCAACCAAAGCCAGTTTGACCCGGGTGCCCCCACTAAATATAAACGGAGTTAATCTCAGGCTACTCCGAACCCTGGGTGTGTGCTTTTGGTCAGGCTACGCAAAAACCTTAGTGTATGATTTTGGTCAGACTTCGCCGAACCCTAAGTGTATGCTTTTGGTCAAACTACGCCGAACCCTGGGTGTATGCTTTTGGTAAGGCTACGCCCAAAACTTGAGTTTGGTCAAATCTTAATTTCCTCTGCCATAATCAAGGTATGCCATTGTCCATGGGCTAAATTTTCGGTTTACGAATTTGTCAGTCTGCGCTGTTTTCTGTGTGCGCTAATATCGGTGTGCGCATTTTTCCTGTGCGCAGCAAGGGCTTTGTTGAGCTATATGTTCGCGTTTATTGTGTACGCATTTATCTTGTGCGCGTATTTCTGGTCACCCAAAGTATACTTTTGGTCAAATAGTAGTTTTGTCCCTTGATTATAAATAGAAAAATATAAACAATTTTTTTTTTAAAATTAAAGAGAAAATAAAATAATTATATAAAGATAATGTAAAGAAAACCTTCATGATTTCTAATATCCATTGGTTTATTTTTCTATGTACAAAAATGCTGGTAGTGTAACTTTGATATGAAATGGGAGGGGTGTTGTTAAATCTTTGGTGAGGGGTCTAAGCCCCACCTAAGAAACTTTTTGAAGTGAGTTTTTGCTATCCAAAGATCAACAGATGTTGAAGTGTCTCTTATCCTATTTTTAAAAAATAATTTTTATATCAATTATTAATTTGTTTAACTAAGCCCATGTCATTAACAAATAAAAAATAAAATCATTTGGTACAAACAACATTCAGTACGCCGAGATGCAAAATGGCATAATAAAAATTTAGTGACATAATTGTAAATACTGACCAAAAATGAATCGAATTCATTATACATATGGAACAAAATATGTACTGACTTTATTGTACATATTGAACAAAAATGAATTGAAATCAGTATACATCTTGAAAAAAATGTACTGACATATTTGTACATATTGAACACAAATAAATTGAAAGAATATACATATTGAACACACATGTACTGGCATCATTAGACATATTGAATACAAATATACTGACATCATAATACATATTGAACACAAATGTACTGACGTCATTAGACATATTGAATACAAATATACTGACATCATAATACATATTGAACATACATGTACTGACATCATTAGACATATTGAATACAAATATACTGACATCATAATACATTTTGAACACACATGTACTGACATCATTAGACATATTGAATACAAATATACTGACATCATAATACATATTGAACACAAATGTACTGACGTCATTAGACATATTGAATACAAATATACTGACATCATAATACATATTGAACATACATGTACTGACATCATTAGACATATTGAATACAAATATACTGACATCATAATACATATTGAACACACATGTACTGACATCATTAGACATATTGAATACAAATATACTGACATCATAATACATATTGAACACACATGTACTGACATCATTAGACATATTGAATACAAATATACTGACATCATAATACATATTGAACACACATGTACTGACATCATTAGACATATTGAATACAAATATACTGACATCATAATACATATTGAACACACATGTACTGACATCATTAGACATATTGAATACAAATATACTGACATCATAATACATATTGAACACACATGTACTGACGTCATTAGACATATTGAATACAAATATACTGACATCATAATACATTTTGAACACACATGTACTGACATCCTTAGACATATTGAATACAAATATACTGACATCATAATACATATTGAACACAAATGTACTGACATCATTAGACATATGAATACAAATATACTGACATATAAATACATATTGAACACAAATTGTACTGGCATTATTATACATATTGAACACACATTTACTGACATCATAATCCATATTATGGCAAAAAATGTTCTAACTTCAGTGTACATATTGATCACAAATGTTGTTAACTTTTTTATATATATTAATGAAAAATGTAAGTAAAATCATTATACGTATTGAACACAAATGTAATGACATAATTTTAAGTATTAAACAAACATGTATTGACATCATTACACATATTAAACAAACATGTAAGAAACACAGAACACAAACTGCTCGGTCTAATTGCATTTCATTATAGGGAAACGAACCACACTTAAATTTTTCACACATGTAACCAGTCCAAATGCATGCTCTATTTAGAAGTCAAGGCTGATGCTATAATAACACAGAACACAAACTGCTCGGTCTAATTGCATTTCATTATAGGGAAACGAACCACACTTAAATTTTTCACACATGTAACCAGTCCAAATGCATGCTCTATTTAGAAGTCAAGGCTGATGCTATAAAAATGAGGTCAAGCGATCAATGGTCAGAAAAACGCCATTTTTATCACGATGTAACGCCAATTTATGTGTTTGGTAACTTTCGTGGTAGTGTGACGAAGTCGAGCTAACCTATAAATGTAAATGTACTCGCGATGACCTAATTAGAACCCCCTTCTCCTCCTTTTGAGGTCAGGACGAGCTATTTTCCCCAATTACCGTCACCCCACCTGGAAAGCCACTGAACTTACTGATATGTAACGCCCATCCCCCCCCCCCCCGTTTTTGTTCGCCTCGCATGGGGTGAGCGATTATTGAAAGAATATCACGCTTCGGAATATTAAGTTCATTGAATTCAGAGATCACGTCGTAGTGATTATCCAATAAGCAATGAGGATAGAATCACTAAAAAGGACGTTGCAAAAGTTAGAAGTTTTCTTTTTCAAGATCGACTCTTAAGTTAGCACTGTCAACTTAGAGTGCCTTTTAAACCCGGCTTTCTAAAACCTACCTGGTTGCTAGATCGCCGTAATGCTGCAGTACAGTCAACTGCGCCTTAGCAGCTGGTTTGAGAAATCTGTTTCCTGAGGCCTGAGTCCACGAACCCCGCCCAGCAACCCCTCTGGAAGACCAATCCATCACCCGCAAGGATATGATCGCATGCTGATGGGACTTTACTCACCCGAGAAATCCTCACATACACCTACCACAGCGTACTGGGGAAGAGGTTAACCCCGCCCAGCAACCCCTCTGGAAGACCAATCCATCACCCGCAAGGATATGATCGCATGCTGATGGGACTTTACTCACCCGAGAAATCCTCACATACACCTACCACAGCGTACTGGGGAAGAGGTTTCCCAGAAGGTACAGTTGTGACTGGTATCATTAACTTTCCTGAACGCCTTAAAAAGCGCTGAGCCCTGAAATGCCACAAAGTACAAAGGATCAAGAGTCCACTTCGACGTTGAATGGATCTCTGTATTGTACTGCCGTAGCATCTATTTTCGTGAACGCAATGAGAAGTGCTGAGCCCTGAAAAGCCACGAAGTAAAGTATTGGAGAATTCACTGCCACCATTGTATTGATCCCATTTTATCACAATGTTATTTCTCCCCTTTACGTGAACGCCCTGAAAAGTGACGAAGGATAGGACCCGATCATCCACATCCACATTAAAGTGATCTCATTATTAAATGATCTTACCAGATCATCAGAGCTACTTCATGAAGTCCTCAAATACAGTTGTGATTGGTATCATACACTTTCTTGAACGCCATGAGAAGCGCTGATTCCTGAGAAGCGACGCAGTAAAGAATCGGAGGTTCCACCTCCACGTCGAAGTGAAACTACCTTGGATTGATCAAGCTAGATCATCAAAACGATTGACTGATAACTTAAGTCTGATCGCGAACGATTGTAATACAAAGCAAAGCGACTGTTAGGATTAGATATATGTTATACTGGAGACCATTGTAAACAATTAAATAGAACCTAGCTTCCTTTATATGATAGTGTATATCCCTTACTATCATGCCATATATTAATAAACCTGTAAATAAATAAGTTCATTTGATTTACTTAAAGGTGTTATGACGTTTTTGATAGTTAGGGTATAAATGAGTAAAGTAATTATGTCCTTTAGTTCATGAAATCGATATAACAAAATACCCCTAGACACATGCAGCTGCGACACTCATCAAAGAGTTGTTCCACTCCAAACCCCTTTAATACAAAAGTCATTTCACCACAGATAGGACGCTAAATAAAGAAAATTTCTGAAAAAATAAAGCTTTCCATTGATATCAAATAGGATGCAGTCAGGAGATAATAAGTACCCTACCTGAATCGAATCAGTGAAAGTTAAAAGCATTTTAAAAATGACTTTTTACTTATTAATAGGATTTATACAATAATTTTTGCTCACTTTTCTTATATCTTTAATAATTTATTTAAATCATTAAAAAAAATTTTGAAACCAAATATATATCAACATACTAGAAATACTTTTTGCTCTCTCCATCACTAGATCTGCCCCTAAACATTTGAGGACGATTGTCATACAGCAATGTCTTTTACTTACTGTTAGGTATTTCCCTATGGCATGGGCCTGGGGAGCTGCTCAACAAACTCTTGCCAGAGGAGTATAGGTATAGGTATGGGTCTAGGTCAAGGGGGAACAGGTATAGTTATAGCCAGTGGTACATGTGGAGGTAGATGTATAGTTCCCTATAAGTACGTGTACAGGAGGAGGTATAGATGAAGGAAGAGCACGAATAGGTATATGTATAGGTAGTGGTACAGGTGTAAAAAGAGCACGTTTAGTTATAGGTAGTGGTAGAGGAGAAGGGATAATTATAGGAAGACGTGTAGATATTGTAAAGATCATATGGAGTGATGATGTTACTTGTAGTTATTACTTATATTATGTATTCACCATCACAGATGTCTATGATTATCTAACGAAGCACGATGGCCAAAACTAAGAGTTTGCATCACAACATTTATTTACTGATTAAAGTACACCACATGAAATAATACCTCCATAAATCAGAGCAAATATAATTGTCATAAATTCTTCCACTTCACATTTGTTGAATCAACATTAAGATGCTGTATTATAAAAAAAGTAATTATAGCAAGTGCTAATCAAGAAATATAATCAAACCGCCATTCATCCGGGTCTTTCACTGTCTAATCAATAACTGCCTAACTTCCTGTCTTTTCTACTTATCATTCCGCCGAAAAAGCATTAAGATCTAAATATTTTATCTGTGAAAGATATAATAAGAGAATGAGATATATACACGCGCACAAATAGACGCAGAGAAATGGGAATGCCTTATTCGAACGTTTAAACCATTCGGTCACCCAGCCTCGTGAGTTCACTTGCATAATATCTCATTTCTATCGCACAGATTTTTAATTTTTTTTTTAACCAAGTTGAACTTTGAACCGACCCTGGCACACGTGACACACATGACTAATTTTAGAACACGCGTCACAACTGTACAAAAACTAAACAATCATTTCAATTAGCTTTGATACTCGCTATATATCCCTGTGGATATAACTTAATGACTTCTTTTTGTATTCAGTTACCTATAACAAGCATTACAAATACCTTAACCATGACAAGTTCCATACGGTACCGTTTTAGTTATGTCAGAGTTAGCCCTCTACAACAATCACTCGCACATATAAAGAAGTTATGTTTTAAATGTTATCCCATTACAATCGATTTAAATAATTAAAATAGGACATAATTCTACATCTATTAATTCAAGTCAAAACTATTGCGTTGTCTCAGTGGCGTAACTAGGGGGGTGCGGAAAGCACCGGGTGACACCATCTCAGGGGTGACACTAAATTGAAAAATTGCATATTTACAGAGAAACAACTTTTCGGTCTAATCAAATCTCATAAAAGAATAACCGATCCCATGTAAATTTCCCACACAGTTTACCAATCCACATGCGTGCTTTATTAAAAGTTCAAGGTTGATGCCTCATAAATGGGGTAACCCTATAATTAGGTCAGAAAAACACCGTTTTCAACAGGAATGAAGTGTTTGTTAACTTTCGTAAGTGAAAGGAAGCTATATTGATCTACATTCTGAGAAATAAAGCTTTCCGTTGATACCAAATACGATCTGGTCGAGCGGTTCTCAGTACATAAATCAAATCTGTAAAAACTCAACACGTTAAAAGATTACACTTTACCCACTTAAAGTGTAAACAAAATAATATTTTTAGAAGATTTTAATAACTTTTGTTTCAATGTAAAAAATGGTTTTTGAATCGAAATATATTAAAACTAAGAAATACTTAAAACTAAATGTTATCGCCGATTAGCCACTCACACTTTGAAATCCCCCTTTAACCGTTAGCACTTTTGAAATACAGCACAAGGTCATTTACGTGCTGTCTGTGATTTCACGTTTATCTGCTACATTTTCACATCGGCTCATCTACTTACGGAAGTTAATCTTATACAGCAGTATCTGCACACCAAAGGCTTTACTCTTAAGAAAGTGGTGACCAACCTAGAGATTTTAAGATTGTTTTTCCAAGAGAAGGGCTGTAACTTGGTGGAACATGCTATTGAAAAGGCACTTTTAAAATAAGAAAAATTATGGAATTTCTGTAAAAAGACGATTAAGGTTTAAGAACAGAAATGCAGGAGAACAGTTTATTGATGTCGGACTTTCAATGGCTAAAGAAAACAAATTGGAGATGGAGATGCTGGAATGTATTGATTGCTTTCATTCTGAACCCAAGAACGGATCATATATAATAAAGAAATTATCAGATATTTCTGGGCTGTTCAACCGACGAGTCTACTATCAGCTTGTGAAGAAGAGTTATTGATGTCCATTACTAAATTAAACTCTTTCTATGTTGAATTATCAGAAAATGAAAAAAAAATTTATTAAGGCTTAGAATACAGCTAAACGCAGCTGATATTGAATTTCACAAAGTCATGGATTGGTCAGCATTGGATGTATTTAAATTCAGAGCTAAATGAGACTTCTTAGAATCTTTTCCAGTACTCTCGGTAAGCCTTCAATTGTTTGTTACGATATGTATGTATGTGGCTGCATGTAATGAAATCTTTTCAAAATAAGGCTTATCAGGAACTAGATACGAACCCCCATGGGACAGTAAAGGCTTTTAAATCTGGCTCTCTTATCAATTAAAATAGGTACGGTGAATGATATTGATTTTGTTTAGGTGATTGACTTATTTGAAGCTTTGAAAAACAGAAAAAAGAAAAATATTAATACAGTCAATTTAATGTAACAAGAACGATAACGTAACACTGTTACAGTTCTATTATGGTGGACAAGCGGACTGGACCGTACCGATAGCCAGTCAAGGAAACAGCGCGCATGCACAGAGAGACTGGAGAGAGTGTGTGTGTTTATGAACCGTGTTCCGGATGCAAGCAGAAAGTCAACACTTGATTGAGAACTTGTATTTATGTATATATATATGTTTATGTTACTGGTTTGAAATAAAAACAATGAAAACATAACAAAATGGTTGCCAGTATAAACAAAACAGTGAGGTATCGACCAGCATCAACAACACAGTATGATGGTCTGTATTAACTCAATACAAAACTCAGTACAACTCAGTACAACAGAGTGATAGTTTGATACGCACGAGTGAGTTCACGGGACGGAGGAAGTAAATACACAATGGAGTCAAATCTGAGCCAAGCTGACATTATCCAGAAGCTCATACAGCAGAACGAGCTACTTTTGAAACTAGCAAAAGGTAATACGGCTACTAATATGAAGTTTACACATTTCAATAGTAACTACTACAAGTTACCTTGGTGTTGGCAAATAATGAGCCAAAGGAATGGCAGGCACACATTTTTTTAATAAGCCAGACGCCAGAGCTGCATAAAATGTTATCAACCATCTTACAACAAAAAGAACCACCACAAAATTTAAATGACTTGAACAAAGAAGATATATATAGAATAATGATGGATCAATTTGATCCCACCAAATTTGTAATCAGAGAAAGGTTTAAATTTTGGTCTGATTCTAGAAGAAAACTGGGGCAAACAATCAAAGAATTGGCAGCTAGGATCACACAGGATGCAGCGACTTGTGAGTTTAGTAATATCAAAAATCCTCTAGATGAAGCTTTACGAACAAGATTCATGTGCTCTGTAAAGAATGAGGCCGTATTGAAAATTTTGTTTAGGATGAAGGACACTGAAGTGTCATTCAACAAGGCAGTTGAAATAGCTGTTGAAACAGATGAGGAAGCGAAACGTGCCAAAGAAACAGTCCAGGAAGAAACGCCTATCAATAAAATTCAGACACAAAGAAAGAAGCAACATCAGACGGCAGAGAAATTTTCTCCATCTCAAAGACAAGAATTTCCGAGTGGAACTTGTGAAAGTTGTGGAGTAAGAGGCCATAAAGGAAATATCTGCAGGTACAAAGTCGTGATCTGCCGCTTTTGCCACAAAAGAGGACATCTAGAAAGAGTTTGTCTAAATTAGAAAGAGAATGCTCCCAAAAAGAAACCGATTCATCTCAAAAGAATAAGAAGGCAAAACCAAATAAAAACTATCCCGCCCATTATTCAGGAACTCATTTTAGAAGGAAAGAGGTTTGCATTTGAAATTGACACTGGAGCCGGAGAAACTTTTATGTCTGAATCTATTTGGCGAAAGCTGGGACAACGCACATTGAGCCCAGTATCGGTCAAGTACGAGTCAGCAAATGGTGACCTACTTAATGTTTTGGGAAGTGTACAGATAAAGGCTGAAGCAGGGGAAATAACTACAAATTTGTTATTTGTAGTACTGAAAAATAACAACGTAAATTTGTTGGGAAGAACGGCAATAAAGAACCTCAGGATTTCAATAGACGCACTGTTTCAAACAAGGACAAATTACATTGCTAATCAAAACTCATTGATTAAAGCTCGTGAAAAAATCCGTAAGTCAACTGAAGATTGCAATGCGGATGCTCTTAGTCGTCTACCCTCAGGGCCTGATGACAATTTTGACGTTGAAGAAAGTGAATCAGACATGGATTCTGTTTGTATGATCAAACAAATCAGTTTACAGATCAGACCAACAGACCCAGGAGTCCTTGCTAAAGAGTCACTTAAAGATTCTACTGTGTCTACAGTAATGAGATATTGTCAAGAGGGCTGGCCGTCCTCTATAAACAAAGAACACTTGAACTAGAATGCAACTAATATAGCAGCTTTTAAAAATATTCAAGACTCACTCTCGTGGAGTCGAATTGTCTATTTTATAGTTCGAGAATTGTGGTACCAAAAATACTACAAGCTCAAGTTCTCCAAATCCTGCATACAGGACATTTTGGAATTGAGCAGATGAAACAGTTAGCAAGATCATCTGTATATTGGCCCGGACTTGATACTCAAATCATGGAGATAGGTCGAACATGCCAAGCATGTGCAGAACAAGCCAGAAACCCAAACAAAGCAAGTATCCACCCATGGATGCTGCCAGAAAAACCATGGAGTCGAGTGCATATCGATCATGCCATTAACTTTAAGGGATCTCATTGGCTGGTGGTGATAGATGCTTATTCAAAGTACCCGTGTATCCACAGGACAACATCTACATCGACCAAAGCTACCATTGATCTTCCGGAGGAAGATTTTGTTCATTTCGGTTATCCACACACCAAAGTCAGTGACAATGCTACTTGCTTCATCTCAGAAGAATTTCAGCATTGGTGTAAGGAGAAGGGTATTGTACATCTTGCAGGCGCTCCCTATCATCCTGCTACAAATGGAGCTGCCGAACGACTGATTCAAAGTTTCAAGAGTTCACTAAAGAAATCCTCATTACCTTTAAAGGAATCTCTACAAGACTTTCTGCGTCAGTATCGTAGGACACCATTGGCAAATGGATTATCACCTAGCCAACTGCTGAATAATCGGCAAATAAGTACACTTATTGATACCCTAGTTCCCTCTCCTGCCCATCGAGCACAAGGACAGCATCTTAAAGAAATAGCCGTCCGCCATGGGACAAAAAGAAGTACTAGTCGAACATTTAACCGGGGAGATCCATGTTACGTCAGAGTATATAGAACAGAAACAGACTCAAAACCACGATGGGCTCCCGGTACAATCATCCAAGTTATGGGTCCACGTCTCTTCAAGGTAAAGATTTATCCAAATGGTCCCATTTGGAAGAGACATTTAGACCAACTTCGCCCCAGGTACGGAGCAGAAGAAGATTCAGAACCAGGTTTGGATATAATGACAGAAAATCTTTATCCAACAGCTCAGGCAGCCCTGAGTCATCAACCGTCTACACATCCAGCAACTCCAAGTCAGCCTAAGAAGAAGATTAACACTCGACATCCAAGACCTTCAGACTATGTCATTCCCAGAAGATCTCAAAGACAACGGCGAGCACCATTGGTACCGGACTTGTAATTGTTCGGGGAGGTGTAATGGTGGACTAGCGGACTGGACCGTACCGATAGCCAGTCAAGGAATCAGCGCGCATGCGCAGAGAGACTGTAGAGACTGTGTGTGTTTATGAACCGTGTTCCGGATGCAATCAGAAAGTCAACACTTGATTGAGAACTTGTATTTATGTATATATATGTTTATGTTACTGGTTAGAAATAAAAACAATGAAAACATAACAAGTTCTTAAATACATCTACCTCTTGAAATTCAATTATTATTTTTTATGTTTCTTTTTATTGCTATACTACGGACTTATTTTAACATGAAGAACACCATCGTGGCAGTCGGGAGGGGAGATGACTCCATGAATTTACCGCACCGAGTGACACCGAGCCTAGCTACGCACTACGTCAAGCTATCGAGCTGATATTTAGCACATAGACTCGTTGCCAATGAAAACACATTCTATTAAATTATTTCAGCCCCATCCCCAAACCTCAAAACCCAAAGGTCAGCGTTACCTGTTTTTTCAAGGGAAACATGAAACACGCCAAATAAGATTTAAAAAAAAAAAAACAACAAAAAATTTCAGTAAATGCTTTTGGTGCGTAATACTTCCTTTGTTTTTCTGAAATAGTAGGTGTAATAAATCTGTTTGTACAAAAGCGGGCGGGTCATTAAATGTAAAAATATTTCAGGGGCGTGAACAAAAATGTGCGGTTGCGAGTCTTGAGGGGGAAAGGTGAGCACTAATTGTGATTCTTATAATTGCATTAGTTTTATGCATGTTTTGTCAACTTTTCAGCCCTAACCCGCCCATTGCTAAATATTACATTTTACGAAGTATTCATATAAAAAACTATGTGTGCGTTTAATGTGTTAAAAAAAACAACAAAAAAACATGTTTAGGTTATTTTTTTATACGGTTTTCTAAGGGGGGGGGGGGTATGGATTTATATAGCCCCAAAATAGAGATGGCTGAAAAAAAGAATGAATATAAATATCAATTCAATAAATTCATCCTCAAAGGATTTTATGTAATTCATTATAGTTGGAAGGGACGTGGAGATGACTCCACTTCATAAATTAGATACGGTACATCATAAATAAGATACATCATAAATAAGATACATTTTAAATAAGATGTATTATAGTTATGATGCTTGATGGACAAGATACATCTTAGACAAGATACATCATAGGCATAATACATCTTAGACAAGATACATTTTAGACAAGATACATCATAGGCATAATACATCTTAGACAAGATACATTTTAGACAAGATACATCATAGGCATAATACATCTTAGACAAGATACATTTTAGGCAAGATACATCATAGACAAGATACATATTAAAGACAAGTTACATCAACGATTAGTTACATCACTGACAAGATACTTACATCATATTAAAGTTGCATCATAGATAAGATTCGTCAAGACAAAATATTGATTAAACTCGTATGATTATTATTATTATATCTTACTTCCGGACAAGGTATGCCAAAACGACTGATCTCAAGAAGAGAAATAAAGATTTAAAAATTCTCCTTAGTGTATCAGTACCATGGTCTGCACCCAAGCCTTTCGCTGCAATCGTGGCTAGAGAAGACAGTCGAAATGAATTTATCTCGAATGCCATCACTTACTTAAGAAAACATAAATTCGATGGCCTTCATATTGATTGGTGGTATCCAAATAAAGATGGAGTTACAGAGGAAAAAAAACATTTAACTGCTTTCCTGAAGGTATGGGTAAAATCTCTAATATTAATTTTTCTTTTAATATGATTGCTTCCATTGCCCGTTAGCACGCAACACACAAATGTCGATAACTACAATGAATGACATCTTTAAAAAAAATATAATGCAAATTCGATCGGTACGTAATATTTTCTTTTCATTTACGGAAATAGAAATGGTCTCAATTTAAATATGGCGTAGTAAAAATTAGGTTTAAAAGTAGCTAGAATATAAGATTATTAATATAGAAATAATAATTGTGCAGTGGCGTATCATGGGGAGGGGGGGAAGTGTGTATAAAAAATGTGGATTCTTATTTGTGCGTTAAAAATACTTGCGTTCATATTTTGTCATGCCACTTTAGTAAATAGGAATTTTATGCAATGCTGTCACCGATGTTTAGCAATTAATAAGTGATGAAATATTATTTCACAAGCTTATTTTTTGTATTTTAATTAATATTTGGACTCTATCATTTCATGGTAGAATATGGGCTTTAGATTCAGTGAAAATTTAAGGACATATTTTTTGAGTGATAACATTATTATTTTAAAAATACCGCACTATTAAATTCTCAATATTGTTCCCACAACATTTAGATAACGTTTCTGTATTGAAATGTTTCTTGAACAAAACCACTATCCATATCTACATAAATTAATGTAACTGCACAGAACCACCATCAACGTATACATGAATTGATATGCCTGCACAGAACCACCATTCACTTATTCTTGAATTGATATGCCTGCAAAGAACCACAATCCACGTATACGTAAAGTGGATATACCTGCACAGAACCACCATGCACATGTACATGAATTTGATATACCTGCACATAACCACTGTCCACTTATACACGAATGTATATACCTACACAGAACCACTGTCCACTTATACACGAATGTATTTACCTGCACAGAACCACTGTCCACTTATACACGAATGTATTTACCTGCACATAACCACTGTCAACTTATACACGAATGTATTTACCTACACAGAACCACTGTCCACTTATACACGAATGTATTTACCTGCATTGAACATGGTGCATTTCGTCAAAATTACTTTTATTTTAAACTATAAATGTAGCAGTAAATATCGCTGCGTTATTTCAAAAAATCTACGCTTTTAAATTACGTTTCAAATTTAAAAAAAAAATTACTAGTAAATTTATACTGATCATCAACTTAGCGATTGGTTTTCGACGCGCAATGGTTTTATTTTTATTTTCGATTTTTACGAATGATTTTGCAGGTGGCGTCTGAGGCGTTTCAAAATAATTCGATAGAAACTGGAAAATCAAGACTCCTACTTAGCGTAATTGGTAACCCTTCTCAAGTTGGCTATTACGAGGTCTCCAAAATTGCAAGGTATTTTATGTTTCAGTATTGCCAAGTGATTGATAAACTTTCAAAAAGGGAAAAGTGAGGGGGGAGAGGTTAAAATGGACAGCTTTTATTTTGCACTCAAAGAATTATGTATTAATGTTTAAATTTGTTGGATAGAAGTATAATTTAAATTGATTGTTGTTGTTTTAACACTATGGAAATGTTATTTCGTTATTGCAATTTTCCCAAAATTATCTTGATTCAGAAAAACAATTTGATAATCATTTCTGAGCCTTTAACTTAAATATAATTTTCAAACTAGCAGGATAACTTGCTTTAATTTATTAAAAAGGCAATTTATGAATATAGAATTATAAATAATTTTTAAAATATTTTATACAAAATAGGTATGTGGACATGATGAACATTGTTGGCTTTAGGTTCTTTGGTTCATGGAACTCACACATAAGTCATCACAGTCCTCTATACGGAGACGACAGCAGCGTGGTAAAGAAATGACGTCATATATTTTCACTTGTTTATTGAATACTCTCATTCCAAAAGGAAATGTAAAATACCTTTGTTATTTCAAAAATAAGATGTTTTCTGCTCATAATGCTTAAGATTTAAACTCAACACATAGTTAAAATAGTGCGTAATGCTTTAATGGTCTGGCTTTAATAGGTGTTTTAAGATCAATTTACAATCCCGATTGTTTTTCACAATTTTCTTTACGAATGGTTACATGTTTGATTTACAAAAAAACAACAACATATGTTAATAAGTAATTAAAAAATTTAATTACAATCATCCAAAAAATTAATATGGAAAAATATGTATTTAGTTGCAGGGACGTCATTTGGGTAGGGCAGGGTGGGCATTCGCCCCCCCCCCCCACCGTGATTGTGCATGTATTATTTAAATTGCAATGTACTGTGACGCCTCCAGTAATAAGTAACTTAACAAGTGACCAGGTTTTGTGTTTAGCTATTTGAAATTAAATGTGTTTAGTGCCATAACATTATGTGTTAAGCTGTATGACAATATATATTGTATATATTTAACTGTGTTTAGCTTTATGACAATATAAGTTGTATGTATGAAACTGTTAGTGTTAAGCTATAATACAATGTACATTTTTTGTATTAAACTGCAGTGATTAGCTGATGACTATGTATATTGTATGTATTAAACTGTATGTGTTTAGATGTATGGCTATTCAAATTGTGTGGATTAAAAGGATGAAATGCATGTGTTTAGTTCTATGACTATTATATATTCTCCATGACATTATATAATTGAACTTTAGGGTAGGGCAACACAGTTATATATAATTTGGAAAATTCTGGTTAGGGCTTCCTTCAAATACAGATGTGGATGACATTAGTAATAAAATAATAGAAATATCAGAACCAATTAGATCTCATAGAGCCAAAAGTACAGTTTTTTTTACAAAATTCTTCTAAAGCTCTATTTTTTTAAAAACATTGGTATGTTCCTAAATGCAAAAAAACAAACATAAAAAACAAAAACTTTTGTTTGTATTTTATAATTTGACTAAAAATTGAGGAGTGCTCAATGACGCAACATCAGCACGTGTCCAAATTAGCGCGCAAAAGTGACTTTAATTTTAGCAGGTACATAAGGATTCTGGACTCATAATAAATACTGATCTCAAATATAAAAACTGAACTCGTATATTACACTGTTCTAATGTATATATAAATACAATACTCATATGTAAATACTGAACTCATATATAATACTCTTCTCATGTATATAAAAATACAATCCTCATATATACATACTGAACTCGTATATAATACTGCTCTCATGTATTTACAAACGCATTCCAATATTATTTCAGGCCAGCTCATTACAATTGTGGAAGAAAAATGGAATGCCTGCTGAGAAATTAAATTTAGGTATAGCTTTTTATGGTGTGTATGTTCATGTGGAGAACAAAACGCATTATTCTGACCGCATGAAAATTGTCCACGTTGGAAAGCCACTTTACACTTCACAGAGCGAGGGGTTGATATCATTTGGTCNAATTTGTATAAACTGATATATCAATAATTAATTCGATTTTATTAGTTAAATAAAGACTGTTATGTAGCACAATTTCCTGTGCGTGAACTTTCATCGACCTCGCAGTACACTCCTAGCAGACAGTAACGTCTGTTGTGGGCGTGGTTAAATCTCTTTGATGTATCTTGTTTACAATCGGCTTCCAATGACACATTGCGTAGTTGTCTCCTGGTATCTTCTCGAATGTGCTCCTTAACCCGAGATATGTAAACAACACGTCCAAAGTCCTACGCTACATGTATATAAAGGATTGACAGATACGAAGAGAGGAGATTCAGATATATATTAATTTTACGAGGCGTGTATTATTCCTTGTGTATTGTTTTTTGTGTATTTGTGTGCTCATACTCATATGTGTTTATTTCGCATTATTCATTGGTACATTATTCTATCTGTGTTAACTGTGTACCAGTACAAGATCTACCATACTGTAAGTTGAAGATTGTAATTATATTTTCTTTTCTTTTGTAATCATCTTAAGAATTAAAAAATCTTATTAATTGTAGCTAGAAACTGTTTTGGGTCGCATCTTTAATATTGTTGATTCTATGGTATCGTCCTTTGTTAGGCACTGTTTACAACGAGCCAAATTAAAATTAAAATATGAGATTAAATTCTGCCAATACAAGTCAGTGCGTAACAAAGACAATTATTTAAACTGATAAAATCTCATTGCAACGTCAAGATTAATTTAAATCAAAACCAAATGAACAGATTCAAACCTGCTATCGCATTGTTGAAAGACAGTTTTCTTATTGCATTTAACCAAGTCGACATTGACAAAATGATGTTTTGTGGTGTCTTGTCAGCTTGTACGCCGCGCATGAGTTTATTCAGCTAAATATTTTCCGCTTCATTGACGTATGTATTCTTAGTTGTGGTGTGCTGAAATTTGTAAGTGTCTGACTTAAAGTGGCTATATATGGAAATGTGGCCAAATTGAGCATTCACTTTATGTCATTCTGTTTCAACGGCTGTCTATGTTAGCTCTAACTCAGTTATGACATGGTGAATTTAATTCATGTATTAAATAAAATTACCATACCGCTTGGATCATAAAGCTTTACTTTCAGTTTGATCTGAGGTTTCCGTTTCCACAACTTTGTTTCATTACTAATAATTAGGGCTTAGCTGGGTTCAATTGTTGTAATCCAATCCTAGTTGAGGTATTTTATAACAATACGTGGCGTGTCTGAGTCTAGTACAGATATTGACTTATCATTAACAGTCAGTATCATCAGTCTTTGAGTATCATCAGTCATTCAGTCAGTATCATCAGTTAGTCAGTATCATCTCTCAGTTAGTCAGTATCATCAGTCAATATACAGCGTCATTCAGTCAGTATCATGAGTCAGTCAGTAACATCAATCAGTTAGTAGCATCAATCAGTCAGTATCATCGGTCAAATGTATCAATATTCAGTCAGTAAAATCAGTCAGTTAGAATCATCAATCAGTCATTATCATTAGTCAGTCAGTGTGATCAGTAAGTCAGTATTGGAAATGCAATATTAGTTGTAAAAAGATAGGTCATGGTCATAATCAAAGGTATGCATCTTGTTAAAACAAAGAATTGCAGAAAATTAGCAACAACTATACAAAATTTTGTTTCTTCAGATCTTTTAAATAAATTTAACCAACATTTTGTTTTGCATCAATCTCTATTCAAGTTTCTTTTATTTTTTTTTTTTAAAAGTAAGCTAAAATGTACAGAACATTTTATTAAAACTGCGAAAAAATTTTTATTATCTGGACCTGGTTCCGTGTTTTGAAGGGTTTATTTCTTATCAGCACACGGCTTAGTCCCACCAAAATTGTTAGAGTAGGTTTATTTCTTACCACAACCCACTAAGTCCCACTTAAAATGTTAGATATGGTTCATTTCTTATCAGCACCCGGCTTAGTCCACTAAAAATGTCAGATAATGTTTATTTCTTATCACAACTCGGCTTAAAACCACTAAAAAGGTTAGATTTGGTTCATTTCTTATCGGGACCCAGCTTAGTCCCAATACAAATATTATATTAGGTTCCTTTCTTATCAGATTCAACTTAATCTCACTAAAATGTTCGATTAGATTATTCCTTAACAGCCCTTATCTGCATTCGGCGTAAACCCACTAAAAAAGTTAGATTGTGCTCATTTCTTATCGGTACCCGGCGTTGTTCTCAAAAAAATATTAGACTGGGATTATTTCTTATCAGAATTCCCAAAGTTCCACTAAAAATATTAGATTTGATTCATTTCTTGTCCTGTACCCGGCTTTGTCCAAAAATTTTTTTAGATTTGGTTCACTTCTTATCAGCACTCGGCTTAGTTAAACTAAAAATGTTAAAATAGATTCTTTCTTATCAGCACTGGCTTAGTCCGACTTAAAATGTTAGATTTGGTTCATTTCTTATCAGCACTCGGCTAAGTCCCACTGAAAATGTTAGATTAAGATCATTTCTTATCAGTACTCGGCTTAGTTCCACTTAAAATGTTAGATTAGGATCATTTCTTATCAGCACTCGGCTTAGTCCCACTAAAATGCTAGATTAGGTTCAATTCTTATCAGCATCAGGCTTAGTCCCACTAAAATGTTAGATTAGGTTCATTTCTTATCAGCACTCGGCTTAGTCTTACTAAAAATGTTAGATTAGGTTCATTTCTTATCATCACTCGGCTTAGTCCCACTAAAATGTTAGATTAGGTTTAATTCTTATCAGCACTCGGCTTAGAAACACTAAAATGTTAGATTAGGTTCAATTGTTATCAGCATCAGGCTTAGTCCCACTAAAATGTTAGATTAGGTTCATTTCTTATCAGCACTCAGCTTAGTCCCACTAAAAATGTTAGATTAGGTTCATTTCTTATCATCACTCGGCTTAGTCCCACTAAAAATATTACATTAGGTTCATTTCTTATCATCACTCGGCTTAGTCCCACTAAAATATTAGATTAGGTTCATTTCTTATCATCACTCGGCTTAGTCCCACTAAAATGTTAGATTAGGTTCATTTCTTATCATCACTCGGTTTAGTCCCACTAAAATGTTAGATTAGGTTCATTTCTTATCATCACTCGGCTTAGTCCCACTAAAAATATTAGATTAGGTTCATTTCTTATCAGCACTCGGCTTAGTCCCACTAAAAATGTTAGATTAGGTTCATTTCTTATCATCACTCGGCTTAGTCCCACTAAAAATGTTAGATTAGGTTCATTTCTTATTATCACTCGGCCTAGTCCCACTAAAAATGTTAGATTAGGTTCAATTCTTATCAGCATCAGGCTTAGTCCCACTAAAATGTTAGATTAGGTTCATTTCTTATCATCACTCGGCTTAGTCCCACTAAAAATGTTAGATTAGTTTCATTTCTTATCATCACTCGGCTTAGTCCTATTAAAAATATTAGATTAGGTTCATTTCTTATCAGCACTCGGCTTAGTCCCACTAAAAATATTAGATTAGGTTCATTTCTTATCAGCACTCGGCTTAGTCCCACTAAAAATGTTAGATTAGGTTCATTTCTTATCATCACTCGGCTTAGTCCCACTAAAAATGTTAGATTAGGTTCATTTCTAATTATCACTCGGCCTAGTCCCACTAAAAATGTTAGATTAGGTTCAATTTTTATCAGCATCAGGCTTAGTCCCACTAAAATGTTAGATTAGTTTCATTTCTTATCAGCACTCGGCTTAGTCCCACTAAAAATGTTAGATTAGGTTCATTTCTTATCATCACTCGGCTTAGTCCCACTAAAATGTTAGATTAGGTTCATTTCTTATCATCACTCGGCTTAGTCCCACTAAAATGTTAGATTAGGATCATTTCTTATCAGCACTCGGCTTAGTCCCACTAAAAATATTAGATTAGGTTCATTTCTTATCAGCACTCGGCTTAGTCCCACTAAAAATGTTAGATTAGGTTCATTTCTTATCATCACTCGGCTTATTCCCACTAAAAATGTTAGATTAGGTTCATTTCTTATTATCACTCGGCCTAGTCCCACTAAAAATGTTAGATTAGGTTCAATTCTTATCGGCATCAGGCTTAGTCCCACTAAAATGTTAGATTAGGTTAATTTCTTATCAGCACTCGGCTTAGTCCCACTAAAAATGTTAGATTAGGTTCATTTCTTATCATCACTCGGCTTAGTCCTACTAAAAATAATAGATTAGGTTCATTTCTTATCATCACTCGGCTTAGTCCCAGTAAAATGTTAGATTAGGTTCATTTCTTGTCAGCACTCGGCTTAGTCCCACTAAAAATATTAGATTAGGTTCATTTCTTATCAGCACTCGGCTTAGTCCCACTAAAAATGTTAGATTAGGTTCATTTCTTATCATCACTCGGCTTAGTCCCACTAAAAATGTTAGATTAGGTTCATTTCTTATTATCACTCGGCCTAGTCCCACTAAAAATGATAGATTAGGTTCAATTCTTATCAGCATCAGGCTTAGCCATACTAAAAATGTTCTCTAGGTTTTTTTTTTTAAAAGGCGTATGCTCGTTAATTTAAAAAAAAAAAAAAAAAAAAAGCGCTGTTTAAACTTTAGGGGTGGGGGGTTGGGGGATTGTTTCAATTTTATGACTACCTCGTCTGTACTCTCAGTCAGTATACTAATTATTATGATTTTTTTCATTATAACTTTTATCCTCGCTTCATAACGTTTGATGAATAGAAATATTAAAATAAAAAATTGGAAGGTTTTGTATTTATTCTAATTACCTTAACATTGATAATTGTAATTTACATAGTGAATAAAATAAAATAAATTATTTCTATTAAACTTATAGTATACATGTTAAATAAATTAGAAAGTTGAGTTAATGTAAATTAAATAGTATAGTATGGTCCTTACAAATTGCCATTTTGGATACGTGCCTGCGGAGGCGTTTGAGGTGGGTCAATCAATGAATCAAGGATGCTGATTGAATTGTTACGTTCAATTTGATTTTAATTAATAATCTTCCTTTTTTTGTGTAACATGTTTTTAATGATTAAATTAATATTTTACTTGTGTGTTTTTTTAATATTATAATTTAATTTTATTAGTGTTTAATAAGTTAATTTTCAGTAAATCTCTCGAAATATTATACTTCTGACGTGGATTAAAAAGCTTCGATAAAAATTATTGATATTTTTTTTACAATTTTTCAGATCTGCAAATTGATAGTTGATCAAAATAAAGTGCATAGACATACAAAAGAACGTGTGCCCTCTTACTTTAATGATGGCCTGTGGTTGGGCTTTGATGACAGGATTAGTGTTGAAGAAAAGGTAGATTTGATTGTTATGCTAATACCGCCAATTATAAATCAATCTCTTGGAGAATCTGTTTGTCTCTTTGTGCAAAAAAATTCGGAATGCTTAAGCAATTTTGTATCAATCTCTATCAATGGTGACAACCCACATGTCAGTAATTTCAAAGCCCTGTGTGACGAACTGTCTGTAACAATACGTACAACCCATCTGTCAGTGTTATATAGCCCTATGTGACGAACTGTCTGTAACAATACGTACAACCCATCTGTCAGTGTTATATAGCCCTATGTGACGAACTGTCTGTAACAATACGTACAACCCATCTGTCAGTGTTATATAGCCCTATGTGACGAACTGTCTGTAACAATACGTACAACCCATCTGTCAGTGTTATATAGCCCTATGTGACGAACTGTCTGTAACAATACGTACAACCCAAGAGGTTAATATGCAACTGGAAGACAGCAAGTTCTACCAACCGAGAACCAACAATCCTATCCACAAACATAACGAAATGGTAAAAGAGACTATCAAAAAAATGATTGCAGAATCGGCACTCCCCAAATCAGCCTCTGCCTTAAACATCTTTGATAGAGACCTCGGTAAGACAGGCTTCTACATATTTTCCAAAATACACAAGTAAGGTAACCCTTGCAGACCCATTGTCTCAGCATGCTTTTGCCCCATTAAACATATCTCTGAATTTCTTGATGGAGATTTTTAACCCATCGTATTATCACTGACAACTTACATTAAGGACACTAACCATGCTTTGAAACCTTCCAATCTATCATAATCCCTCCCGAAGAGAAAAAGGAATATCATCTATTTCTTCTTGATGTATGTTCTCTTTACATTTTCATTCCGCACACTGAGGGTCTTTTAGCTATAAAATTCTTATTCGGGACTAAACCCACCCATCTATACCCACCAATACCCTACTCCGATTGGCTGAACTGGTCCTAACCCTCAATTCGTTTTAGTTTGGTGGTCAATTTTTCGACCAAAATCAGCCATGCTGCTATTGAAACTAAAATTAAGACACAGGTTTGCATGCTTGTTCATAGAGCATTTCAAACACGTGGTCGAAATCAGCTTTACTAGACGACTCCCTGAATTCTATAACAGATACATAGTTGACAGTATAAGGGTCACCACTATGAAGAGGAGTGAACTTGACCATTTCATTAATTTTTTAGGCTTCTTTCACCCCTCCTTTACATTCAAATCTCTTGTCTCTGGACCTCAGTTAATTTTTTGGACATTACAGTCCCTCTTCACAAAAACAGCGTTCTCACCTTGGCCAAATTTAGGCCTACAGACAGCCAGAGATATCTACTCTACTCTTCATCACACCATAAATCATGTACTGTAAAGACTCGATTCCTTTTCTCAATTATTTTGTCTTAATCAACTTTTTCGGTCAAAGGATGACTTTTGAGACAAAACCTTTGAGATGATAGACTATATAAGATGCAGGTTTTACCCGGAAAGAGTACTTTCATCAGCCCTTTCCAATGGCTAAGAATATTACTCGTGCTGATGACTTCAGGCCATTTCTGAGCAAAAATATTGACAGGATCAAACTTAGTATCACTTACCACCCTCAAAATGGGCATTTTTTTCCCCTTAACTCTTATTGTTTTCAGACGGGATAAAAATCTGAGAGACCTTGCACGCAGTCGCATCAACGCTGCCCCCTCCCAGTGTGGAACCAAGCCTTGTGGCTGTAACACTCGCCCTTTTTTGTCCAGACTCAACACATACGTTTTTCTTAGATCTGTTTTCAGATACGCGACGGTTTCCTTTGTTCTAGCCGTAATGTCATCTACGCCATTGTCTACACCCGCTGTCAGATGTCGTACATACGGGAGACTGTACGCCGACTCTCTGAAAGGTGTATCGCTCACCTCTGTACCATTACTAAAGATAAAAAGCGTCCCTACTCCAAAAACTTTAATAGCACTGACCGCAAGGGCAAGGTGGACTTTTTGATATGTTCAATCGTGGCTAGCACAAACATACCAAGCCCGGTGAATTTTGAACATGAAGTTATCTTGACTAACAACACTTGGTATGAACGTTATGTGGCTTTTCACAGATTTAACCTAGCTCCGCCACTTAACGTCTCACATTTTCGCAGTGGACTTACTTCCCTTCTTTTCTTTCCCTCTTCCCTATTAAATCTCTCACCCACTTACTTTCTGTCACAATTCAATTGCTACCCTTTTGGATACTACTTCTAAGCTAAGTGCAATTTTGAAATTCTATTCTGTTTTTTTCGCTGACGAAGGCTACCTGCCAACACGTTCGTTGTTTTGTTGTGTTCCTTTTTTTAGGTTTAACCTTACTTTGTTATAGGAATTTCATATTGTAACTATGCTAACAACCCAACTGTAAGTGCTTTCTTGCCCTATGTGACAAACTGACTGTAACAACGGTTTCAACCCATCTGTCAGTTCTTTCATAGCCCTATGTGACAAACTGTCTGTAACAACCCTGACAACCCATCTGACAGGGCTTTCATAGTCCTATGTGACCAACTGTCTGTAACATTGATGACAACCCATCTATCAGTGCTTTCATGGTCTATGTGAAAAACTGTCTTTAACAACGCTTACAACCCATCTGTCAGTTCTTTCTTAGCCCTATGACACCAAGTTCTGTAAATTGCTGATGACCCATCTGTCAGTGCTTTCGTGGTCTTAAATATACGTAAAGATGCGATTTCCCATTAAGAAAAAACAGTATATTTTAATGCATTGAACATTAGATTATAATTCTCTCATTGAGGGACTTGCATATTGTGTGCTTTGGCGTACTTAAGAATTTACTTCACTGGTGGTTCTTTTATAAGTCCTTATTACAAACTTTATTTGGAATATGTGTGTGTGTGAGGGGATCCTCTAAAGTCAAACTACGTCACAAAAGTGGAGGTTGCATTTTATGAGTTTAACAATGTCTCACTCTGCTACATACAAAATTGAATCCACTATTTTAGTCCAGAGTTAATTCCTATTTTTTAATAAATGTATTAAAGCCTTTAATTCATTATTAGAATATTATATGACACACAGAATAAGTTTGTTTATATTTTTTTTACTGATATAAGTTTATGGCACGGCAGTGTTTCAGTTTAAAATTGTGAAAGAAACTAAACAGTGAAAAATCATTCATCGTTACAACGGTATTCATCAAAAGTTATGAATGATGATTTTAATTGCCCGTGTGTCTATAAAGAAATTAAATCTTTTTTTTAAATATCAAATGTTTTTTCATGTATTTTTCTGGCATAATACTATCTACTATATACATTAGAAAATGTGTCTGTTTATGCAACATATGTTTCTACATGAATTTAACGACATTTATGAAACTTTGGATACATAATCTAAAGGGATTGTAGACGTGGTGTGATTATTTAAATGAATATTTCCTTACACAGTTGTATGTCAAAAGCTTATTTTTTTTCTTAAATGGCCTACATAAATAACATTACTAATAATGTGTAAATCTAGACAAATCTTTCAACACATAAACTTGACAATCTCTATTAAAAACTGGACAGTTTTGAAATTATAACACTCGGTCAGGGCAACGGCACTTAATTTCATTTAACTTACACTTACATACCCTTTCAACTTATTTTTAATGGGTCAAATTCTAAGTTTAATCTTTATTTTTTTTCTGAAGAAAATGTAACGGTCCTTTAACGTAAAGATAAGTAAGATGGTACATAATAGAAGTTGCCCACATTTGCCTTTATTTTAACTTTCAAGAATAACGTATGGAGATACTGTATCTTATTTAAGGTGTTTTAATGAAATTGTCCATTTTACATTTTCATTTCTTATTTTCTATAAGTCTCTACGAATTTCCTTTAATAGTATTAAGTAGTACCCCTTATTTGAAGATTTTTTAAGGTTTCAGTAAGTTTCAAAGAATGTAAAGAGGTTACACAATGTAATTTTCATGGCCAAATTATACCAACGCTATAACCATGTCTTAGTTTACAAAGCAACTTCTACTTAATTTCTGGATCATTTCCAAAATTGGTAAATATGACTTTCTTGATGACTTTTAAAATATCCGTGGATTTCAGACTAATTATGTTACATCTTTCTGTGCCTCAGGACCCAATGCTACTTTAAATAAAACGCTCCATATTTGATTTTTTTGTCATGCGATTTTAAAAATAAAATTTTTAATATAAATATGTTTGGTATGCAGTCTAAAATACTTACTGATGTATTCTATTAAAATATTAAGTTATTTTGGTGACGGGATCACAATGGTGAAAATATGTATTGCTGCAACTTTGCAAATTAATTTGCGTATGTGGCCTGCTGCAGTAGATTGCCCACTCCTGGATAAAGGAAACGGCTTTATTTTATAAATGTGAAGAAAATAATAAAAAAGAATAATAAATAAGAAAATAGAATAAAACTGACAGTGCTTTTATAGCCTTTTGTGACCAACTGTCGGTAACAATGATGGCAACCCATCTGTCAAGTGCTTTCATAGTCCTAATATTAAAAATTTACTTGTCTTAAATTTACACACATTAACTATCTTTTGATTTTCCAAATTAAGGCTAAATATGCACTGGAAAACGGCCATGGTGTTTGGGTAGAAAATGTGCGAGACGATGATCATAATGAAACCTCATGTGACATGGGCAAGTATCCCTTGCTTAGGAGTGTTTTTTCTGGATGCAATATGCAATCATCATGAGATATATTTTATTGCACGCCAAATATTCTGAGACATAAAAGTGTTCTCACGTTGTAATAAAAAAAAATTAAGTGAATAAAAATATATCTAAGCAAAAGTTGTTTAGACTTTTTTTTTTCGTTGTTACCAAATTTTTCTTTCGGCTTTTTGACATACTTTCTGTCAAACCATTGAGCTGAAATTAGGCACTTAGCCTCGATTCCGATAATAACACATTCTATAAAATTGTCAGCTTCATTCAAAACCCCAAAAATCAGTTTTTCCTTT